AAGAATGAGGAAGTAGTCATGCGAAAGATCTACATTAAAAAGTCAGTACTATTAGTCTTTGCATTGCTGCATCTAGATTTTCTTTTTAAATGCCTACTTAAGAGTTTTAAAATTAAAAACTTTAAATCCCTAAGTAGTGAGGACTATCAAAATATCACCCCATACCTAAATGGCATGCAAAGGGAAATTTCCTCATCATCTCATTTCATATGTATGAAACCCCATGATATATTATTCTCTGGGCAAAATACAAAAAGGGTCATTAAATAATAAATATTGATGATGACAGGAGACAAGATCCCTCCCTTCTAGAAAAAAATTCCCTTGCAGGTGTCCATATGGACTCATTAACTTGAGAAAAAAGAGGCCTTATTGGATTATAGAGACAAAGATGCACACATTCTTTGGAGGGTAGATCCTAGAAAATGGCAATTTTTGATGAAAGTTCCATTTGGACCCTGACAATTTAGCATTTGGGATTTTTGTAGGACCTTGGGGAAAGAAAATAGAAATTTACTTCTGTCTCCACTAAAAACTGAAACCTTGTGGGAAAAAATAAACTAAGATAGAATTATTTTGTCAGCTGCCACAAAGGACAGTGAAAAGTTTAGTGCCAAATACCATATAATAAAAATTGTATACATTGCCTACTTTTCATTTCCTTTCTACTTTGTCATGAAAATTAAACTTTTAAGCAGTTCTCATAGGATTCCCATGGTTTTTCCCCCTACTTTTTAAATTGTATAAGATATTTTTCATCTAAAATATTACATGTAGATTAGATTATCTAAGAAAATTAAGTCACATGCTACCAATTTCTTAGTCTGAACTTCCCATAATAATTATTTCATTAATCCAGCCACTATTTCTAGTCTAAGACTCAAGTCCTCTGTCTTTCATACCCATATTGGAATAAAAAAAAATTTAAAAAGAATATTCATTTTCCATGTACATACTAACATCTAAAGCAGAAGTTAATGTTACAATAAGCTATATTTGAAACTTTAAGGGCTGATATTGTGGATTTATCAGCTAACTCACTAACAGCAAGGTAAATCTGTCAGTAATAAAGACATTGACTATATTTCATCATTTCCCAAAAACTTTCATAGCTTTTCTTAATGTAGGCCCAAGTAGGAGTAAATAAACCTGAATTTGTAGATTTCTCAGACTGAGAATAACAATGAATGGTTTGCACTTATACGAATATTATTCAATACTATGCAATTTGTGTTGATGCCAGTATATATGCAGTACCTAAGAGAAATTTATAGTATGTGAGCAGGAAGAATCAGTAAGGAACTATTATTGATTTAGAAATGCCCACAAAGTTACCTAATTTTATTGCAGACTTCCCTCACAAATTTCAACTTTTTAGTTTACCTGTTTACATCTAAGGTGACGCAAGCTATTTATGTGTGTTATAACTGTATTCAGTATATTTCAAATAACTCACATTTCCATGTTTTGATTCTTTGGTTTCATTTATCACCAGTGACTAGGAAACAATCCTTTCTTACCTAAATTCCAATCTTAGTCACTGTTCCAAGGAACTCAGTGAAAGCTGCTATGATGCATAGGCTTAGCATTCATTAAGGAGTCCTTCTTAAGAAGCCCAAGCATTTCAGTTTATTTTTAAAAAGAGAGAGAAAGAAGATGCACTGGTATTAAGAAACATTTTGCATTTGATATTGATGCTGTATTTGAAAGAGAAGTCCTGTTATCATTGACTGCTGGGTCTGTCTAGTTTATTAAATAAGTGACATGCTCAAATTGGGAGCCTGCTTAGAAATAATGCTTCAGTGTGTGAAAATGTATGACACCTGTGTGCTATGGTTTACACTTTACATACATAAAGTGTGATGTGGGCTACAATAATATTGTTTATTCAGGGGTTAGAAACCACACTTGAGAATGGATTTCAACCTGGAGAGTCAATTCAGTCTTAGAAAGCTCCAAGGGTACATTGTGGGATACCTGCTATCTTAAGAGCACTAGCAAAGAAGGTCTTTATGGCCTCTTACAAATGAACACCATTATCACTATTTCTGTAGCAATACAAACCACACTTCTCTCTCATCAGGACTGTTTCTAACAACAGGTAAATCTGCTATTATGACTTCACACTGCTACCACTACTATTCTTACCACTAGCACCTAGGATCATGGAGACTTCATGATTTGTAGACATTTTTGTTTAAGGATTATTATATATATGTAATATGTATATGCATAAATACATATACATCAGGGGTTCTTAACCTTTTATGTCGGGGACCCCTTTATCAATCCGGTGAAACCTACGACCCTGTCTCAGAATCATGCTTTTAAAAATGAACAAAATATGCGATTACAAAAAAAACCCAGTTATATTGAAATGCATTTTTCAAAATATTCCTTTAAAAAAAGTTCACAGAGCCCAGGGGAAGAACCCTTGATGTACATATACATATATAGTAGAACTGATTTTTGTGTAATATCATTTTGATTCATTGACTGTTTTTCTTTTGAGCCATTGTCCATTTTAACTGCACAATATGTGGCTTTTAAATTAATTTTATTAACAAAAACTTCGCGGGAAAAAGAACAACAGAGTTTGAATTCTCCGTTTTCAAACTTACTTTGTCTGTTTTCACACTACAGATATTTCAAACCGATCTCCTTTCATTATCTCATCAGCTATGAATGAAAAAAGAAGACAGCAAATCATCTGATTTTGCTAACTGAGAGACTTGGCTTGTATTATCTTTTCAACATGGCTAATACAACATTTCATAAAGTTTCGGGTTTCTTTAACCAACAGAAATTTTAACTTTTGTAGCTAGGATGTATACATTTTTAATTCTTCTCTTGATCCATTTCATTAATGTGAGCATTTCCTTCCACCAGTACAAATTGTAACCCATCCATGCCTTCTCTTCCTGTGGCATTCTAGTCCTTTCATAAATCCTTCATTCTGGATCTATCCAACCCATGGGAAGCCTTCCTGCAGTGCTTCTGACATTTCATTGGTACAAATGCAGCGCTCGAAGTGTCCATCTGTTATTCCACTTCCACTACATGACCAGTTTGCATCCTCTTCGGATCATACACTTTCTTGATGATGTCTTTATACATTTCATAAAGTTTCCATCTCTCTATGATCTCAAGGTATATTTCTTTTTCTCAACACACCATCACAATTCCATACTCCAGACAGTAAGAAACAGAGTCCTAGAAGGTGTAGATGCTACAGAGATAGGAAAATGTTATCGCTTTGGTTTTAGGAAAAAGTAAATTTCAACCCCTGGATAAAACTTTAAAGTATTCTTGATTTTGTATTTGTACTGTATTGACAGTTATTCACTAAGATTATATAGGCTTTAAATGTTGGTGATTTTCCCTTTTTGCTCTTCAAATGAGTTCTGTGTTGTAACTGGCTGTATTGTTTTCTATCACAGATTAAAGTGTTAACTTTCGTGTGTGATAAAATTTCGTGACTCGGTATCGTCACTGTGTGTTCTGCTCATTGGGCATATACTTCTTGGCACACCGCTCACAGCCCAGTAAGTTGCGTCGCTACCCGCCGTCGCCGCCGCCGCCGCCGCCGCCGCCGCGGCCGTAACATTAAGAAAACCACAACAAAAAGCAGAACTCTTGGGCTTTTTTTCCCCTAAAAATAGTGTCCCCACTTTTGAAGGAAACACTTCTCCTTCATAAATTCGAGAAAAAGTTTTTGTTTTGAGGGGTTAGTTGTAATCGGTTTTCGAAAAACCAGAAACCAATACAGTTGAATGTAGTAACCCCGATTATGTGGCCACGTGATTTGAGCACCCCACAGTGCCCTCTCAGTAGGGACTTCTCATTTTCAGTTACCGGTCAATGTTATGTTCCTTTGCACAGCACACCAGCTAATAACGCCCTTTTGTTTGGTTTGGTTTGGTTTTGAACACTTTAAAAAGAGCTTTCCTCTCATCAACTCTGTGAGGTAGGTAGAGCAGCTCTTATTAGCACTGCTTTTTGGACGAGGAAACTAAGGCCCTGACACGGTAAGTGAGTCTGGTCTTGGTAACGCAGCTAGTAAGGATCAGAGGTGGAATTTGGACCCAGCTCTCCAGGCGCTAAATAGAGCCCCCTCTAATAACTCCAGGATTTGGATCCCTTTCCCTTTTATTTTCCCCCAAGCTTGAAAAAATGGATTAATTGCCTTGGTTTGGTTTACTGACTTGCCCGTTCTGCTTAACCACAAGCCTACCCTCAGGCATAGTTGTGTAGAATGCAACTACCGTTCCCTTAGCAGCTCTAACAAACCTTTTGAGCTTCCTCTTTCCTACAAAGGGTCGAGCAAATTCTGGCCTACAATCCCAATCTATCCTGCGCCCCCAGCAATTTACAAGCACAAGGTGCAGTGCTGGGCGTGGAATATTCAAACCTGCAAAAAAGTAAAGGAACCTGCGGGGTTGGCCAAATTCCATTGAGATGTTAGGGCCTTAAGGAGTTAAGGACCTGCTCAGGAACATAGGTAGGGAAGAACCACTAGGAGCAAAGAAAGGAGGCCCAGCTGCTCTAGCACGCCTCCAGGTCCCACCCCACATGGGTGGGCGGCCTGCTCGGCTAGGTCCGCCCCGCCCCGCCCCGCCAGAGGCCCCACCGGCCCAGGCCAGGGACCAACTTTAACATTATCACCGCCGTTGGGCACCAGCTGCCTAGGGATCATCTCAGCACCCTCCTGGCACTGAAGCTCAAAGGCTGGCTCCCAGGAGCGGGCGAACAACAAGGGCACGCACTGCTTGAGCCCAACGAAGGTGCCCCCATTGCGAGGCTGCCTTCCCTAGGACCGGGCGGGGGGCATGGGGGAAACGACGACCACTCTCAGGCTTCCTCTTCCCTGCCTGACTCCAGGACTGGAGCTGAATGGTTAACCACGCGGGCTCCGAGCAGCCCAGCGGGGGGTGGGGGAGGGGAAGGGCAGGGCGGAAGTGGGGAGGCTGGGGGGAAGGGGACCAGAGGGCGGGGCCTAGCCCAGAAAGTAGCTCGTGTGTCCCTCTCGGCTCCCCGTACAGGAAGCTAGGGCTGGAGAGGAGGGAGCCACCCGGACATGGCGGCTGCGGGGGTGAGTCTTGTCCCCTTATCCTCCTCTTGGCTTTGCTGACAGGGCCCAGCGGCCCTGGCCGGGGCGTGGCCCGAGAGCCAGGGCCCCAGAGCGGGCCAGGCACTCGAGGCGAGGCGTCTGGAGCTCGAATGGCGAGCCTGAGAGGGTGCGGGTGGAAAGATGGGGTGGGGTGGGGGTGGGGAGCCGCTCCCTGGCGTTGACCTCTCCGCATTCTCCTTGTCCTCATGCGGAGCCACCGCTGCCTGGAGTCGGCGTCGCTCCCAGTTTCCGCACGCGTCCCTCTTCCCCAGAAGTGAACCATCGGAGACAGTGGAGGGGACGGCCAGCTGGGAGGAGAGGCGCTGGGCAGAGGGTTGTTGGGCGCCTTGCGGAACTTGGCTTTGGGGGAGGAGCAAAAGGGAGACAATTGGGAGCGTGAGTCAGCCTATCCCCGCCGCACTTTGAGGGAGGGGGTTACCTCGAACCCGGCGAATGCGGTTTTTGTGGGCTTTATTTCGGGGAAGACAGCCTGGAGGGAGACTTCGCCGTTCGTCCATTAGCACAATTGAGATTTTTGTGGAGAACCTTCTGGCGAGGAAGCCATTTGCTTCCGTGAGCTGCTCCATAACCCTGGGAGCTTACACTGAGCTCATATTATTGCCCCATTTTAGAGATAAGGAAAATGGAGGTGGAGATTGGGCCTTTCCCAAGGTCACACAGATAGTAAGTGACCCAGCCAGAGTTACACACGGATCGTCTGACTGCAAATCCAGGTCTCCTTCTGCTCTGTTACACTGCCTCTTGCTGTGGACCTATCCCTATGTTTACAGCAGGAGGGCTTACCATATACTATTTTGACAACTTCGTAGGCCCTCTTCCGGGGTCCGTATCATGGGGACTTATCTTCTTCACCAGAGCACACCTGTTATAATATTCTCAGGATCACCTATATATATATATATATATATATAAACTGCCAGCCCAAGTCATGGGGCAGTTTCCCTCAAAGCAAAAGCCTGGACTGGTTTGGGGACAAATAAAGTCTGGTAAGTTTTGGTAACACTTAAGGGGCACCTTTCTTACTACCTCTCTCTTGTTTTTCCCCCTCCTCCTTTCTCCATAAACAGTCAAACTCATAATCCAAGACTGTTCCCTTTTTTTTTTTTTAAATTTTCTGTCTGAAATACGATTATTAGTTGAAACCCAGACAAATTAAATCCAGATATTGAATGCTTTTGTGGTATTTCAGTACATCTGAATTTAGGGTTACTTTTCCTGTTCAGTAGTTCAGCAAGGTTCTTACAGCACTGTTAACTGTCCCTCTTTCTAGTGTAATCAAGACAACCATGTCTTAAAAACCATAAGCGATAACCTCCACATGGCCAAATCTTGTAAACTTTCCTGAATGATGATCTGAATATTTCACCCTATCTTTACTCTGGCCTCTGCAAGGCAGACTTTGTAGACCGAACTATTGTTAGGTGTACTTGTGGATGTGGCTAAATACTGGAAAATTAAATATAAGGTTTAAAAATTGTTTTGTCAGAGGTTCAACTGGTCCTCAAAATGATGTCTGTCTTATTTGTACTTGTATATGGTGGTCCTTTACAATGATATGTTAAAGTTTACATGAATATGTTGCATTTCCGAATCATGAAAGTGTTACCTGTTAGTGAAAATCTGAAATAAGCAATGTGATTGTTGGCTTTGTGGTGGTGGGGTCTAGTGTTGCTGTGAAAAAGATACATTATTAAAGTGTTGTCATTTAAATTGGGATTTGACTCTTAATGCTTAAAATCCTTATGACAAGTTGTACTCCATGGCAAATAATGAAAGTTTGCTGATACACTATGAGCTTGCTAAGACCAAAAGGCTTAACCTATTGCAGTGATCTCTTGGTCTTAGATGAGACAATCTTTTTGGTAAGTAGAGCTGAGCAAAGTGTGCTGAAATTAGTAATTTATTTCACTTAAAGGTTTAGAAAGTAAAAAATAAAAACCTGTGAGGTGGGCAGGACAAGTATTGTTATCCCCACATTACAAAGGTTATGAAGTGACTTGCTCAGGCTCACGTAACTTAGTGTGAGAATTGGGAGAAAAAGCTAGATCTTCTGTCTCTGGTTGGTACCCGTGTTCTCTCATCCTTCCCCAGGGCATAGCTGAGATCTTATCATTTGGTTAGATCCCACTGCCAGTTCCCTGTTTCATTTCCTGACTCCCAGCAGTTTGATTTATGCCTGGGAAGCAGAGTTAGAGAAATGCAGTTTTCAAAAGAAAATTAGTTGGATAATCTTTAAAAAGCACTAACTGTGCATCTTAAATGCTTTTTGATGACAGTGGGATTGAAAGAAGGTGGCAGCTTTTGCCTCCTCCCTAACCCTTTTTCACCCCTTCGGATTAGGAGAAAAAGGCAATACACAAAACAGGCAAATGAGGCCAGTCTTAGCTTTCATAATCCAATTTAGCAAGAGTTTTTTGAGGGGTGATTAGCAAACATTTTATTAAGCACCTGCTGTCTCCAAAGGAAGGCATTGTGCTACATGCTTTGGATGCAAAGATGGATTAGATGGTCCTGCCTTAAGAGTTCAGTGTAGCAGAGGTGAGAAGAATTCGGCATTCCAAAGAAGGCAGTGAAGCACAGAACAATTCAGTATTTGCAGGTTGTCCCAAAAACCTGCAGATAGGGTGATAAAGAGACTGACTTTCAGAATATTAGAGAACAGTGGGAAAAGATTTCAAAACCTCTTCTTTCCAGCGTTCATAACATGGAGGAGGTTGAGGTCCCAGTATGTGGGTTACATCTGACTCTCAAGTTGATAGTAATTCGGTCCACCTCCCAGACATTCCCACTCAGTGTTCCATGAATATTTTAATATAAATTATATTGAAGTATACAGAGGCAAGATATGGACAAAATCCTCTCAGAGTTCAGAGAATGGAGAGATTTTTTTGTTGGGAGATTAAGGCTTAGTTAAGGAAGTAATTTCTAAGCTGGCAAGCAAGGGTTGGAAAAAAGTTCACTCGTCCAAGATAAGGGAGGCAGTACTGCATATCCAGGTTTAAGGTCAAAAAAAGAGTAGGCAGATCCCAGAGAACAGTGTATTCTGGTGTAGCTGAAATAATGTGAGGTAAGGGTGGAAAGGTAAGTTGAAGCCAGATTGTGGAGGGTTTGTAATTCCTGCCGGAGGAATTTGGCCTTTCTTTAGTACACGTGTGGGGACACTGAAGATTTTTTTTTTAAGAAAGTGACCTCACAGCTATGATTTACAAAGATTACTTTGGTGTGTATATTAGATTGAAGTGGGAAGGAGTTATTGACATTGTCTAGATGAAATGTATTGAGAACCTGAACTAAGTGGGGGGAGGGGGAGGCAGCAAGAATGGAAATGAAGGAATAGATGAGAGTTAGACTTGACAAAATTTATCCCAAAAAAATGAGGATTGAGATGGAGTCTGGTGCCACTGACAGGAGGAGCAAAGCGTGAAGAGCTGCAGAGGCTTGGGGAAGAAAGACGGTGGGTAGGTTTGGTTTTGAGTTTGCAGTCCGACCATGTAGGAGAGAGTGATGAGGCACTATGGCCTAGTGGACACAGATCTGGGCTGAGAGACGGACAGACCTGACTTGGAATTTTTCCTCCCATTCCTTCAGTGACTTTGGACAAGCCACTTAACACTCAGCCTCAGTTCTCTCATTTGTAAAATGGGGATAATATGACCACCTACCTCACAGAGTTGTACAAGTACATAATAAATGAGATAAATATGTAAAGTGTTTTGCAAACTTAAAGTGCTATATAAATGTTATCTCTTGTTAATTATAGTAACTCATTATTAGTAAGAATAAGTTGGCCTAGCAGTGTGCTAGGTTGAACCGTTGCCAAATGTGGCTTTGAAAATTGGGTTCAGACCAAAAGGTTTTTCCCCACAGCACCCCATTTGGGCCCATAAGCACGACTGCAGACAAGCAGAAGTTGGCAGGAAGGGTGGCTACCTGAGCAGCAGACGCACTTCTGAGCTGCTACTTCCTTGCTTGATCCTCAGAACCTTACAGAATGATAGCTGTGTTAAAACAACATGAGAGGAAAGCCTTGCCTCTGCCTTACGTGTTCTACAGTGTCTTGGGGGTTCTGGGGGTTGAGTCAGAGCATCCCTTTGCTCCAGGGGCTCCTGGAATGTAATGGAAGGGAACAGGCAGCATTCCTACTGAGCCTGCTCACCCTTCCACCCATGGAGATCCAAAGCCAAAAAGGAAACCAAGCCTTGCAGAAGCTCATACCTTGTAGTGGGGGGGGGGGTAGTGACTGATAAGTTAATAATTTACAAAGTAATTTTGGGTCAGGAGGACTAACTAATCCAGCAGTTATCTTAAAATGAGACCGAAGTGAGAAGGGAGAGCATTTCTTGGGAGAGGCTGGGGGAGTCAGGGTTCTGGGAGGGTGATGGGGGGAGGGGTGATAGGCCAAGGGAGGTGGCAGGATGTCGAGGTCACTGGGTTGTATCTAAGGGCCATGTCATTTAGCACTGAAGAATTCCACAAGAAGCTTTGGTCTGTGGTTTTGCCTCTGGGATGCCTCTGCCACCCTCACGCACTGGCGCCTTGACTGGGTCAAAGTCCTGGGACAGGAAAAGGCAGAGGATTCTTTCAGACAGTGAAAGTGGATGGAGACCCAACACAAAACTCCAACATTTCTACCCTACCCCCACCCCTTTATCCTCTAGGTTTCTATGAGATGAGCTGCCCAGTGACTTTGTACTTCATGTACCTGGTGAGCAGGGCCCACGTCTCCAAGACTGTGTATGGACACCAGAAGTTGTCTTTGGCCTCTGAGAAATTTAGAAGAATTTGCCAACGTGAATATAAAACTTCAAGGAAGCACATACCTAGTACAAAATAAAAGACTTTTAGGTTTGTTTTTTATTGGTTCTAAATGTCACACAAAACATTAACACGAGAATAGCTTTGTTGGGAGGAATACTGGAACCTCCGAATTTGAAAGGCCCTTAGGGTTATGTGTTCCAGCC